CAGAAGGCTGGCAGTTCAAACCCACCAGCCACTCCTCGGAAGGAAGATGGGGCAATCTACTTCTGTAGTGATACTGCCTCGGAAACCCAAGGAGGCATTGCTATGAGTTGGGTCCAACTCGACGGCACATAACAACAACAATCCTTAACTGCATCCATGCAACAAAATAATTCGCTTACATGTAAGATTTTATGGAAACAGAAACATTACATAGGGAAGATTCACTCAGAAATAATTTGCAGCCTCTTCTATATTTAGCAGAATGGTTGCAATTATTCCAAAATATTTAAAAGTCCAACTTACCTTTTCTTTAAGAATTACAATTGGTGCAAATGCAGAACTCATCAAATCATTAATATCAATTTGAAATAAATATTTCAGAGTCAGAAACTTGAAAGCATCATCTGTTTATTTACAAATAAAAAAAGTTAACATTTGATATTATGCAACTTTCAAATCTAATTTATTCCTTAGTTGTCATATCAGAGAACAAATAACCTATTTCTTACCTTTTTGTGGAATGTAATTTTGAGAAGACAGAGAGTTACCAGTTGAAAACATCTGACCGTTTAACAGAGTATTTTCCACAAATCCATAGATTTCTGCCTGAACATGCTCTTCAGTCACTAGTGATGTTTTGGATTTTTCTTCAGTATTTTTAGAAGATGGAGTTTTAAAGTGTGCTTCTTCATGAATTCTCGTAGGTAACTCTGTTTTGGAGACCATATCTGCAAATAAATAAAGAGGGGAAAATGTATTATTTATGAGGATGTGGAACAAGGGATATCATTGCTGATGTCAGATGGATCTTAGCTGAAAGCAAAGAATACCAGAAAGATGTTTACTTATGTTTTATTGACTATGTAAAAGCATTTGATTGTGTGGATCATAATAAATTGTGGATAACATTGAGAAGAATGGGAATTCCAGAACACTTGTTTATACTCATGAGAACCTGTACATAGATCAGGAGGCTGTCATTCAAACAGAACAAGGAGCTACTGCATGGTTCAAAATCAGGAAGGGAGTGTGTCAGGTTTCTATCCTTTCACCATATTTATTCAACTTGTATGTTGAGCAAATAATCTGTGAAGTTGGATTAAATGAAGAAGATCGTGGCATCAGTATTAAAGGAAGACTCATTAACAACCTGTGATACACAGATGACACAACTTTGCTTGCTGAAAGTGAAGATGATTTGAAGCATTTACTGATGAAGATTAAAAACTTCAGTCTGCAGTATGGGTTACACCTCAATATAAAGAAAATAAAAATCCTCACAACTGGTCCAATAAACAGCTTCATGGTGGATAAAGAAAAGATTGAAGTTGTCAAGGATTTCATATTACTTGGTTCTACAATCAACACCAGTGAAAGCAGCAGTTAAGACATCCGAAGACGTATTGCATTTGGCAAATCTGCTGCAAAAGACCTCTTTGAAGTGATGAACAAAGATGTCTCCTTGAAGACTAAGATACAGGGTATGTCCTTAAGCTGAGTTTTCACAGACTCTTACCACAATCAAAGCACCACCATCTACTTTGGTCACCATAGCTAGGATTCTGGTAACAGTTATCCTTATTATTTCCTTTCCCTCTCCCTGCTGTATTCAATCAGTCATTAAGTCCAGTGAATTCTATGAAAGATCTCTCCAATTTCTTCTTCCAGTCATCTCAACAACCATCATCATGTATTAGACCAGAGATTAAAAAATGCAGTCAGTGAGCCAAATCCAGCTCACAGAATGTTTTGCTTGTCCTGCAGGGTATTTTTCTTAAATCAGAATATTTTCCACCATTAACAATGGGAGATTTCACACAAAAGTCCAGATTTTGAGTTTTTCTTGAAAAATCAGTTTCTCACCTCACACCATTTTGAAGTCAAAGCTGTCATTCAGATACTAATGATTTACCTAGTTTTATTCAAACTATTTCAGAGTTAATTCATTTAATATAATTTCTCCTGATTTGAAAGAAGGAAAGCAGTGATCAGATAAACAAAGCTTAAAGAAAGATTATATATGTATATATCCTTAACTGCGGCCCTAGGGGTTGGCCTCAGGCCTAAGGCAGTCACCTGGCACACACAATGCTGTTGGTTGGAGCCCGCCAGATAGCTGGGCCCTCTCTTTCTAGGAGCTCTGGTAGCATAGTGCCTAAGGCACTTGACTGCTAACCAGAAGGCTGGCAGTTCAAACCCACCAGCCACTCCTCGGAAGGAAGATGGGGCAATCTACTTCTGTAGTGATACTGCCTCGGAAACCCAAGGAGGCATTGCTATGAGTTGGGTCCAACTCGACGGCACATAACAACAACAATCCTTAACTGCATCCATGCAACAAAATAATTCGCTTACATGTAAGATTTTATGGAAACAGAAACATTACATAGGGAAGATTCACTCAGAAATAATTTGCAGCCTCTTCTATATTTAGCAGAATGGTTGCAATTATTCCAAAATATTTAAAAGTCCAACTTACCTTTTCTTTAAGAATTACAATTGGTGCAAATGCAGAACTCATCAAATCATTAATATCAATTTGAAATAAATATTTCAGAGTCAGAAACTTGAAAGCATCATCTGTTTATTTACAAATAAAAAAAGTTAACATTTGATATTATGCAACTTTCAAATCTAATTTATTCCTTAGTTGTCATATCAGAGAACAAATAACCTATTTCTTACCTTTTTGTGGAATGTAATTTTGAGAAGACAGAGAGTTACCAGTTGAAAACATCTGACCGTTTAACAGAGTATTTTCCACAAATCCATAGATTTCTGCCTGAACATGCTCTTCAGTCACTAGTGATGTTTTGGATTTTTCTTCAGTATTTTTAGAAGATGGAGTTTTAAAGTGTGCTTCTTCATGAATTCTCGTAGGTAACTCTGTTTTGGAGACCATATCTGCAAATAAATAAAGAGGGGAAAATGTATTATTTATTTATTTATTTAAACATATACTTTGGTTGCTGGCTTTTCTTTTGTTTTCTAGACAAGTTGTTCTCTGAACCTCTGTCATTGTGACATTTCATTAGGAAATATAAATTATAGCCTATATTAGTTTCCTTTTTGCTGATGTGCTAAATTACCCCAAACCTAGTACTTTAAGCAACACAAATTTATTCTCTTCCAGTTTCGGAGGTCAGAGCCCTAAAACAAAGGCACTGTCAGGGTATGTCCCTTCTGGAGACTCGAGGGGATAATGTACCTCCTTGCCTTTTCTACATTCTAGAGGCAATTCTTTGCGCCTGGCTCCATCTCCATCTTCAAAATCAGCAGCATAGCAACTCTCAATCTCTGTATCTTCTCTGACTTACCCGATTTCCTCTTATAAGAAAATTCATATTATATTGTTCTCACCAGGATAATCATCTCAAGATCTTTAGTCACTTTTGCAATGTCCTTTTTGCCATGTAAGAAGATTGTGTATTCACAGGTTCTGGAGATTAGGACATAGACATCTTTGGGGTGGCCATTATTCACCCCACAACATAGCCTTTTCCTTATTTCTTGGCCAAGGAAGAATTACAAAACCTGTATACAATTCTATTCTCTACCTTACTTTTTTGTTTGATAAACTAAAAAAAGAAAATAATGGTCAACATAAAACATTGGTACAATTAATAAAATACTGTTAACAACTCTTTTATACTATATAAACTTATGACTGACAAAAAGATAATAATCAGATCCCTGTGAGAATTCATTTATATTAGTTACATTTATTACCCAACAGGGTAAATATCTAAATGCCATTATAAAAATACATATCCTTATTTTATATCACTTTTAAGAAAATCAGTGAGATATATGTTTCTTACTTTATGTATTGGAGAACCAGAAAGAGTCAAAGTGACCAAAATTATTTACAATATCTACAGCCTGCTTGATATTGATAGTTAATTCTATTTAATAAATAGAACAAACTTGGCTACTTGCACAAAGAAAGACAATACTAGAACTTAAGAGTAAATAATTCCCAAATTCCAAAACCTAATCCACTGAGTCATTCATATCTACAATACACATTTCCTAATATGTGCTATTAAATATAGAAAACTCTATCATTTATATTTTTAATGGGGTTGCTCCAAAGGTAGAAGAACTGCTCACTACTAAATAAAACTATTTAGTACATAAACTATTTATGTAGTAAGCCATTTGCACAGAAAAATGCCAATATTCTTAGGATGTTTGAAACAATATTGAAAATGAGAAAGTACCAATCAAATGGCAGGCATTATTTTCCTACTCTCTAGAGCTTCACCAATCTCAAATTCCTACCATTGGCCCACCCTCCCTTCATCTCATGTCCAATATTTTATATTATTATATTGTATTATATTATCCAGGGAGTATATTAAGAGAAACAATGAATGAACAGAGGCTTTCTTAATTCCACAACTGAATACTTCCTTCCATTAAGTGAAAATTTTGGAAGGAGATGTGATTAGAGAAATTCTTATTAGTTAGCATTTGCAGAATATTTTATATTTTAAAGCACATCATTTTATTTACAAATTTTGCAAATGATTAACACACTCAGATGTTAACCAAAACATTGAAGGTTCAAATCTAACCAGAAGTGCCTCAGAAGAAAACCCTGGTGATCTACTTTCAAAAACTCATCCACTGAAATCTCTACAGAGCATAATTCCACTCTGACACTCAGGGAGTTATTGTGAGTCAGAATTGACTCAAAGGCAGCTGGGTTTTTTTTTTTTTTTTGGGGGGGGGAGTATTGGAATAAAATAAGTATAGATAAAGTGGTCCAAAATATACTTCATGCCATTACTTAAGTTATTTTAAGAACAGTCATCACCACTTGTCTGTCAGTTTGCCGTACTATGGTTGCTTACATGTTACTGTGATTTTGGAAGCTATGCCAATGGTATTTAAAGACTAAGACAGACTAGGAAGAAGGAAGGGACAGTACGCTTCGGAAGAAATTGGCCACTGAAAACCTTATGAATAGCCGTGAGACACTGTCTGATGTAGTGCTGGAAGATGAGCCCCTCAGGGTGTAAGACACTCAAAATACAACTGGGGAAGAACTGCCTTCTAAAAGTAGAGTCGATCTTAAAGATGTGGATGGAGTAGAGCTTTCAGAACCTTCATTTGTTGATGTGGCATGACTCGAAATGAGAAGAAACAGCTGCAAACATCCATTAATAGTCAGAATGTGGAATGCAGGAAGTATGAATGTAAGAAAATTGGAAGATGTCAAAAATGAAATGGAAATGATAAAGATTGATATCATAGACATTATAAGCTGAAATGGACTGGTATCAGCCATTTTGAATTGGACAACAATACTCTCTACTAGCTGGGAATAACATATTTAATAGGAATGGCATCACATTCATCATCAAAAAGATTTCCAAAGCTGTCCTGAAGTAAAATGCTGTCAGTGATAGGATAATTCCATAAGCCTACAAGGGATACCAATTAATACTAGCATTATTCAAATTTACTCACCAACCACTAAAGGTAAAGATGAAGAAATTGAAGATTTTTACCAATTTTTGTGTCTGAAATTGACCAAACACACAATCAAGATGCATTGATAATTACTGGAGATTGGAATATGAAAGTTAGAAACAAAGAATTGTTATTTGGAAAAATGGCCTTGGTGATAGAAGTGATGCCAGAGATCTCCTGATAGAATTTTGTAAGACCAATGATTTATTCATTGCAAATACCTTTTTCAACAATATAGATTATGACTTTACACATAGATCTAACCAAATGGAATACATAGAAATCAAAGCAACAGCATCGGTGGAATGAGACAATGGAGGAGCTCAATATCTTCAGTCAGATCAAGGCAAGAGCCTGAGTGTGGGCTGCTGATATCCAAGTTTAACTTGAAGCTGAAAAATGTTCAACATCCACGAGAGCCAAAATATGACGTCGAGTATGTTCCACCTGAATTTAGAGACCATCTGAAGAATAGAGTTGATTCATTAAACACCAAAGACTGAAAACCAGACAAGTTGTTGGATGACATCAAGGATATCATACATGAAGAAAGCAAAAGGTCATCAAAACAACAGGAAAGAAAGAAAAGACCAAAATAGATGTCAGAAGAGACTCTAAAACTTGCTCTTGTATGGAGATTAGCTAACGTGAATGGAAGCAATGAAGTAAAAGAGCTGAACAGATTTCAAAGGCCAGCTCAAGACAAAATACTGTAATGAAATGTGCAAAGGCCCAGATTGAGAAAATCAAAAAGGAAAAACAAGCTGAAAGAACTGAAAAAAAAAAAAAAAATTCAAGCCTCAAGTTGCAATATTGATGGTTTCTGTGGACAAAATATGGAACCATGCAGGAAGCATCAAAAGGAGATGGTACACAGTCACCGTACCAAAAAGAATTGGTGGATATTCAGCCATTTAAAGAGGTAACATATGATCAAGAACCAAAGGTATTGAAGGAAGAAGTCCAAGCTGCATGGAAGGCACTGAGAAAAAACAAGGCTCCAGGAATTGACGGAATACTTATTGAGATGTTTCAACAAATGGATATAGTGCTGGAGGCACTACATCCTTTATGCCAAGAAATTTGGAAAACAGCTACCTGGCTAACTGACTGGAAGAGATCCATATTTGTGCCCATTCCAAAGAAAAGTGATTCCACAGAATGCAGAAATTATTGAATAATATCATTACTATCGCATGCAAGTAAAATTTTCCTGAAAATAATTCAAAAACAGTTGCAACAAGGAACTGCCAGAAATTCAAACAGGATTCAGAAAAGGGCGTGGAACAAATGATATCATTGCTGATGTCAGATGGATCTTGGCTGAAAGCAGAGAATACCAGAAAGATGTTTACCTATGTTTTATTGATTATGCAAGGGCATGTGACTGTGTGGATCATAACAAATTGTGGATAATACTGCAAAGAATGAGAATTCCAGAACACTGAATTGTGCTAATGAGGAACCTGTACATAGATCAAAAGGCAGTCATTCAAACTGAACAAGGGGATACCTCATGGTTTAAAATCAAGAAAGGTTGTGTAAGGTTTGTATTCTTTCACCATAGCTATTCAATTGTATGCTGAACAAATAATTCAAGAAGTCGCACTGTATGAAGAAGAACATGGCATCACAATTGGAGAAAGACTCATTAACAACCTGTAATATGCAGATGACACAACCTTGCTTGCTGAAAGTGAAGAAGACTTGAAGCACTTATTGATAAGTTCAAATACTGCAGCCTTCGGTATGGATTACACCTCAAGATAAAGAAAACTAAAATCCCAATAACTGGACCAATAAGCATCATCATGATACACAGAAACAAGATTGAAGTTGTCAAAGATTTCATTTTACTTGGATCCACAATCAGTGCCCACAGAAGCAGCAGTCAAGACAGCAAATGTATTGCATTGGGCAAATCTGCTGCTAAACACCTCTTTGAAGTGTTAAAGAGCAAAGATGCCACTTTGAAGATTAAGGTGCGCCTGATCCAAGCCATGGTATTTTCAATTGCCTCATATACGGATGAAAGCCAGACAGTGAATAATAGACCACAGAAGAATTCATGCTTTTGTATTATGATGTTGGCCAAGAATACTGAATGCACCATGGACTGCCAGAAGAATAAACAAATCTGTCTTGGAAGAAGTATAGCCAGAATGTTCCTTAGAAGTGAGAATGGCCAGACTTCGTCTCTAGTACTTTGGTCATATTATGAGGAGGGACCAGTCCCTGGAAAAGGACATCGGCAAAAAAGAGGAAGATCCTCAACGAGATGGATTGACACGGTGACTGAAACAATGGGCTGAAGCATAGCAACAATTGTGAGAATGGCAGAGGACTAGGCAGTGTTTTGTTCTGTTGTACATAGGGACACTATGAATTGACACCACCTAACAACAACATAGTGGCTAAGGCAC